TGTGTGTGTGTGTGTGTGTGTGTGTGTGTGTGTGTGTGTGTGTGTGTAGTCAGGGCTGGGAGGGTACTGTCCTTCTGTGTCCAAAGTTTGCAAAGGTAGAGCAACAGAAGGAACTAGGAAGGGTGACTTACCATGGTCATTTGACTATGACTTGATAATTATAGGAGATAGCCAGACTAGGGGGGAAAGTCAGAGACACTCAACTGCTGCTGTGTGATCTTAGCCAGGGGGCTTAGCCTCTCTGAGCCTCAATTTGTTTTCATTTGTGTTAATCCCAGTCATTCTAATACACCAGGAAAATGAGGCTAGGCTAATCCTAGCCTGAGTTATTTCCAAGACACTCGGGGTCTCACCTTCTTTACCTGTCCAATGGGTTCAAAGTCCCAAGAGGCTTACATGGGAAGGGCTGGCTGGAGAAGAACACATGGGGACAGTTGTCTATATCCTGGGCAATCTGTGGATTAAATAAAGTGATATGTAAAATGTCTCCCGGAGGAATGAGATGATCATGAACTTCTGCAGTCTTCCTCAGTCCCAGGAGATTTTTGAGATGAGGAGAGCAAAGGCCCCCGAACCTTGCAGGACAACAGGTCTGGGTGGAGGACAGGGATGGTTCAGAGTGTCTGGGGACCAGGGTGCATACATCGATTGGGGTGTTAGACACCCCAAGGAAGGAAAAACATGCTCCCACACGGAAGAGAAGCCACTGGGAAAGTGGCAGAAGTCTGTATTCATGGTTCCCATCTGTTTGTGGGCCCTTCCTTAGGACCCACAGGGAGTCAAACCATCTAGCCCTGTCACCTGCCTTCTGGCATGTCCCACTGAGGCCACTTCTGTTCCCTGTAATCTGCTCAGCAGTCACTCTCAGTCCCCACTTGCAAAGTCCCTGCCCTTCCGTGCAAAGGGCAGGGGTGCTGCCTTGCTTCTGGGCACCACTGGGTCTCAGCAAAGGCTCCCTTGCAGATGCCAAAATGTTTCCAGCTTCCTTGTTTTACCAGGATGCCCACCGCTGAGGTCCCCCAAGCAGCTGGTGGGCAGGGCGATGGAGGTGATGAAGAGGGAGCTGCTGATCCAGAGGAGATGTTCAAGACCCCCAAAAACACCAAGAGAAAAGCCCGAGACTACGCCCGCTTCGCGCCACTACTGCTGATCTTGGCTGCTTTGGCCTCAGCAGGAGTCATGCTTTGGTATTTCCTAGGTAATGGAAAGTGAGGGCCCGGTTGGAGTGGTACCCTGGGAGGGTCAGGGTGGATGTAGGGAAGACTGTCAGGGCTGTGTGTGTGTACAGTAGGATGGGCCAGGATTCCAGGTTCTGTGCTGCTGTTCTCCTTTAGTTCCTCAAGGTGGGCATTCTGCTGGACCTTTGTGAAGTCCCATGCATTAGTCTGCTCCCTGATTCTTTCAGCTGGGGAGGGCAGACTCTTTAGCACTCAGTTCTTGGGTCGGGGTGTGCGCGCATCCCATTTTTTGCCTACAGCCCTCCAGGATTATCCCTTGGGCTCAAAGCCACGTGCTCTGCTGCAGGAGGCCCAGAGGTACCCACGGGACCTGGTACCAATTAATGCCTCTGCTCATTTGAGCCCCAGGTGCTCCTCTGGGGAGAGGACTACAGCTTCGTCACCTCTTCGTCTCCAGGGCTAAGCATGGAGGACCAAGGGGACCACTAGACAGCACCCGGGCTTGGGAACCTTTTCCTCGTATCTGACTTTGCCTCTTTGGACCTGATATCATGGCCCTCAAGCAGTCCATGGAGCCACAGGAGTATCCGGCCATGCTCTGGGTCCAGAAAACCCTTCTGTCCACACATTCATGGCTTGATGATCCTGAGTGTTGGATGCGGGTGGGAGATAGCTCACCTCCAGCTCTTGGTCATGGAAGGAGGTGGAATGATAAGATTAGTCTGCACCTGTGAAAATGTTTCCCATATGATGTAGAAGACTTGTCTGTCCGTTTATCTGTCCAAGCATCATACAACCGTTCATCCACCTATCCATCCATCCGACATCTACCATCCACCCACCCATCCAACCAACATCCACTCATTAATTTATCCATCCATTAATCTATTCCTCTGCCATCCATTTTGCCCAGCAATCCATCATCATCCAGCAATCCATTGACTCATCCATTTATTCATTCAATCTCCATCCATCTATTTCTCCATTGTCCATCCAACCATCCAACCATCTGTCACCCATTCATCATTCATCTGTCTACCCACCATCCACTCATTCACTTATCCATCAATCCAGCATCTATCCATCCATCTATCCATCAGCAACTCAACCATCTAAATATGCAACCATTCATCTGCCACCTGCCAAGCATTCATCCATAAATCTATTCATTCATCCATAATCCAAACATTCATTCATCTGTCCAGACATCTGCTATCTACCCATCAATCCATCTATCTATTATCTATCCATCCATCCATCCAGTGCCAGGCACAGGGCTTTGTGCTAGGCTCTGGTGATGGCTTCTGTTTTCATGATTCCTCTATGGTGTCAAATACAATTATAACATACCTGTTATGGCCTAGGATGCTAAGGGAGTTCAGAAACCCCAGAAAGGACAGTTCAGCTTATTTGCATGATTAGAGGCTTTCCATTAAACATTTAGATGGAATTCTTTTGCACATATCTACCAGTAAAATTTCAGATCCGTGGACAGGACCTGGGAGGCTAGACTCACTTGGAACAGCTCTAGGGAGACAGATTCACCTAGTCCAGCTCAGCTGAGAGAAAGATGCCATATTGAAGATCCTTACCTTAGGGTTCCTATTGCTGTGACAAAACACCATGGCCAAAAGCAACTTGGGGATGAGAGGGTTAATTTCACCTAACGTTTCCAGGTAGCTCTCCATCACCGGGAATGCAAGGGTAGGAACCTGGAAGCCGGAACTGAAACAGAGGCTATAGAGGAATATTGCTTACTGGGTTGCTCCCCATGGCTGATCAGCCCACTTTCTTATAGCACCCAGGGCCACTGGTGCAGGGGTGGCACCTCTCATAGTAAGCTGGGTCTTCCCATATCAATAATCAATTAAGAAACTGTCCCACAAGCTTCTCCAAGGGTTATTTTAGAACATGCTTGCTTCCTTCCTTCCTTCCTTCCTTCTTTCCTTCCTTTCTTCCTTCCTTCCTTCCTTCCTTCCTTTCTTCTCTCTCTTTGTCTCTCTCTCTCTTTTCCTGAGACAGAGTTCCTCTGTGTAGCCATGACTGTCCTGGAACTCTCTCTGTAAACTAGACTGGCTTCAAACTCACAGAGATCTGCCTGCCTCCGCCTCCCAAGTGCTGGGATTAAAGGCGTGCGCCACCACCGCCAGGCCAAGAACATTTTCTCAATTGACGCTCCCTCTTTCCAAATGACTCTAGCTTGTGTCAAGTTGTCATAAAACTATCATCACAGTCCCCACGTCAAACAGAGACTGTCTTACAATGACTCATTGGTTCTTCTCAGAGCTGAGTCATCCAGGCAAAGAGCGCTTCACCACCAGCAGGAAGCCAGCACCCCAAATACTGCAGGCCAGAGTGCGGTCTCATTAAGTTACTGGGTAACTAGTTTTCAGGGCTGAAGAGCTAGATACTCACCTGACAATCATCTTTCTAACCCTTCCTCCTGTGCCCCAATGGGGTTCTACCTAGGGTTGAAGACCCAGGGTGCCAGGCAAGAACTCTAGAACCTACCAGAAAATGTCACCCCCTTAAAGTGTTCAAGGTGGAAGAAACCCCTAGGGGAGCTGTTAGGATAACTCCTCCTACCCAGGTCAGCACTGAGTAAGGAGAAAAGTGGGAGGCAGGCCACACCCATCTTGGAGGGACAATGGGCTGGCACAAAGTGGGGCAGATTCTGGATAAAGAGCAGTATAACCGTGTCTGGGAGTAGTGCCCGGCTTTCTGAGGCTCTGTGGGGTCTAATAGCCGAACCCCTTCCTCTCTCAGTTGTCCTACAGTTCCAAATTGACCTCATTCTCTCTTGCTCCCTGAGAAAAAAGCCTCTTAGAAAAGAGGTCTCAAGACACCAGACACCAGCCCTCCTACAATCCTGGGCTCTGCCTCCCACCCTCCCCATCTAAAACCGGATTCCAATCTCATCCATCTTACTCACACACTGGGACCCTTTCATCCCCCGCATCTCCTTGGAACTTTGTCTCTCACTGCAGCATTCCTAGAAGGCGCTAAGTAGTGTGGAGACCACCAGTGAATGTCTGCCCTCATAGACCTGGTGGAGCCAGGCTCTGCTCGACCCCAGCCCCCGCTCGTTCAGTCTCTATCATGGCCCTCCTTGAACCTTGGATCCAGGTGGCCTTTGTTGCATTGGGCCAGGAGCATGCAGTCTTCCTTTGCCATGCCTATGCCCTTGACTTCAGCCTCAGCTCTCACCTGCCCAGCATCCTCTCCCCAGGAAGATTCTCCTTTTTGTCTCCACCTTTGTTTTCTTTGGCATCCTTAGTGGCCGAATGTCCTTTATCCCTGGTGACTTCCACATCTGCTTGTCCTGGCTCAGGTCTGTCCTCACGGTGCCTGCAATCACTGTTGCTATCGCTCCACCTGGGTGTTCAAGGATCCCCTCCAACCCCAACTGTGCAGAACACAGCTCTCCCCAGGGCCTACAATTCCCACTTCCCCATGTCCATGTGCTTGCAGGCATCCCTTTAGTCCATGCAGCCAGTCCCTCGCTCTCCTCATCCCTCTTCCCGTTTCCAGAGTGCCCAACACAGCAGATGCTTAGGATGCACTTTGGGGATCTCTGGATAACTTGGGGATGGGAGTGCAGAGCAGAGAGCTAACAGTGCTGCCTTGGAGGCACAAGGCTCTGGGGACATGTTGAGGGTTGGAGTGACAAGAGACTTTTGGACATGCTTCCTTGGTAACCCATTCCTTTCTGCCCAGGGTACAAGACAGAAGTGACCATTAGCCAGGTGTACTCTGGCAGCCTCCGGGTGCTCAACCGCCATTTCTCCCAGGACCTGGCCCGACGAGAGTCCGGTGCTTTCCGCAGTGAAACTGCCAAAGCCCAGAAGATGGTAAGGAGGGGTGGGAAGGCAGGAGGGGGGGGGGGGGAATGTGGGAGGGTGAGTCCGGTGAGTTTGTCCATCATTTTGCAGAGAGTGCTTACTGGGATAGACCCTGCCCCGGGTATCATGGGAAGGGGCTGTGCTGGAGGTGACATGGTCATGCCCAGAATTCAACTGGCTAGAAAGAAATCTTGATTTTGCCTCTTGCCAGGAGTACAGCAGGGACGTTGAAACTGTGCAGTTCATATTGCCTGGGCTCTGCCCCTCTCGTACAATGCAATGACCATTGGACATTGGACAGTGGGCTACTCGCCCCTTCCACTCTCAGCCAGGCACAGGACTGTATTTCAGGGGGGCAGGTAGAAATGCTGGATGCACCCCTCAGCCATGAGATCGAGGGGACAGCTACAGGGCTCTTCATCCTGTGTCCCAGGTGTACAGGGCTATTGGCAGCGCTTCCATTGCCTTCGGCTCTCCCTCGCTCATGAACAGCAGGCTAGCTGAGCTCCCAGAGTGGGTTGGCTATACCAGAGGTCCCTGGGAGAAGGAGAGAGGACCCAAAAGTGGACTGGGGCTTTTCAGGGCGTGGATGAGACGGTAGCAGGGAGAGGTTGCGGCGTAAGGTGAGGTGTGGTAGGGGACAAGATGAGAGGGCTGTTGCCTGGCTTAACCTTGTGCTTGTGTTGGTGGCAAGCCCTCAGCCAAGGCTTCCATGTCAGGCTGGAAAGAGCACATGACCAGGAAGGGGCTTAGGAAGCCAGCATCCCTGCCACCACGGAGGGTAACCAGGGCCTGTCTCCCTTCTCACAGCTCAAAGAGCTGATTGCCAGCACCCGCCTGGATGCTTACTACAACTCCAGCTCCATCTACTCCTTTGGGTGAGTTGTCCCAGCCTAAATGGGCCCCAGTGAGAGCCTCAGCTCCAAGGGCAAGGAGGGCTGGATCCGACAGGCTTCTGACACAATGCCCTACTCATACTTTTCCTCAAAACTCCAAAATAAAGAAAACAAGAACATGGGGAAACTGAGGCACAGACCGAGACCTTAGCCTCCTGCGTGTGGTTCCCCTTTATGGAACTTGGTCTTTTCTACAGAGGGTGGTGTGTTGTGACGTGGTTCACACCTCACCAGGACTGGGGATGCCTCATGTAGGTGGGCCCAGGTTGGAAGTATTCTTGAGAATACAAGGACCAGGATCCAGTTTAGGACTTGGCTTGCCTGGTCATATCTGGTTCTACCGCTTACCAAACGGTCTATGACCCTCCTGAGACTCGATCTCTCCTCCTATGGGAGAGAATGAGAAGAAAGCCTAGCAGGTGCCCAGTGAGTTTGAGTCTCAGTTGCTCCCTTGAGTGGAGAGCTCTGTAGGGATGAGGCTGTAGGTCCCTTTCACCTCTGTCTGCATAGGGAGGGATCCCTCACCTGCTTCTTCTGGTTTATCCTTGACATCCCCGAGTACCAGCGACTGACCCTGAGCCCTGAGGTTGTGCGTGAGCTCCTGGTGGGTGAGCTGCTGTCCAACAGCTCGACCCTGGCTTCCTATAGGACCGAATATGAGGTGGACCCCGAAAGCCTGGTGATTCTCGGTCAGTACTGGGAGGGGAATCCTGGTGTGGTTAGACCAGCAGGGCTGGGGGAGGCTATCCCCTCCTGGGCGGGGGATACTTAGGTGACCCTGGAGTCAGGACAGAGGGCGGAGGCAGGTGGCATGGGGGGCCTGGCCTTGAACGAGCCTGGCTTGGCTCCTCTTCCCTGTTTTTATTTTCAGCGTTCTGTTTATTTGGCTTTGCCCTTGTTTATTTGTGTGTTCGTTTCCTTTTGACAGAAGCCAGTGTGAACGACATAGCCGTACTGAATTCCATGCTGGGTACGCTGCTGTGTCCTTGCTTTGGCCTCTTTCCTTTTGAATCCGAGGGTTTCTTGTCTGGTCAATTGTTGGGGTCCCGAGGCTTCCACTGTGGGGGCAGGGAGACCTAGGGACACTGGGGGATGTCACAGGGGGGCCTGGGCGAGGGCTCTGAGCAAGGCTGAGGGTGGAGGTCCAGGTAGAGGTGTGCCTGAGTGTGTGTCTTGGATGTGAGAGTGAAGGAAGCTGTAGGTCAGTCATGTGGAAACCTATGCCTGCTGCCTGTCACTCAACTCAGCCTGCTGGCCTCACCCTTTTTCCTACTGAAGATACAAACAGTCTTGCCAATCCATGCTCAGTCCCTCAGTCACTCAGCATTTAAACTGATCTGTCGGAGAGGATAGTTCTGGCTTATTCAAGAACTCTATCTTTATCCTTCTCTCCTCAGTGGGGCTAACCTTCCCTCCTCTCTCTGCCCAATATTACTTTGATTTTCTCCCAGAGGCCCCACTGGCTTCATGCTGAGCCCTGAGAAGCCAGGTGCCAGTCGGAACACCCTGTTGTGCAATGCTAGGAGTACTGTGCACACTATAGTCTATGGACTGACATAGTCTATGGACTGAGCTAGGCTAGTGTACCTTATGACTCTGAATACAAGCCCTCAGTGCTCAGATTCCTCCTAGACTAGCTAGAGCAGGGGTTCTCAACCTGTGGGTCACGACCCCTCTAGGTTACATGGGATTGCACATCAGATATTTACATTACCATTCATAACAGTAGCAACAATTATAATTATGAAGTAGCAGCAAAGATAATGTCATGGTTGGGAGTCACCACAACATGAGGAACCTGTATTAAAAAGTCTCAGCATTACAAAGGTTGAGAACCTGTTTCCACCCAGAGCTGAAGTAGAAGTGAGTGCCTCAACCCCTCTCAGTAAGGAAGATAGCATAAAATCCCAGTTACTCCTGTTCTGAATCCTTTCCTCCTGTCCTGCTGGCCATTCTATCTATCTATCTATCTATCTATCTATCTATCTATCTATCTATCTACCTATCTATCATCTGCCTATCTATCTACCTATCATCTGTCTATCTATCTATCTATCTATCTATCTATCTATCTATCTATCTATCTATCATCTTTCTATCATCTGTCTATCTATCTATCTGTCTGTCTGTCTATCTATCTATCTATCTATCTATCCATCTATCATCTGTCTATCTACCTATCTA